CCTGCAGCAGTTCTCGGTCGTCGATGTCGGCTGTCGAACGATCGGACGCTCCGAAGAACTTCGCGGCTTGCGAGGTCCCGTTCCCATTCGCGCTGAAACTCGAACTCGCTCAGCAGGATTTCGTTTTCGCCTCGGTCGATCTGAAGCGTCGAATCTCCATCGGACGGATGTCGTCGGTCGAACCTCCGCAGTGTTCCGCGCAACTCCAACTGTTGTCGCGAACTGCGAACTTCCCCGAATGTCGCAGGGAGTGTTCCGCCGGAACTGACGCGCTCGCCAGGTCGAGGCCGTTTGCCCTCGCGAAAACTCGGCACCGTCGATGCAGTCCATCGAACGGTTGGCGAGGCATCTCGCCTTCGAAGGGGACCCCAGGTGCAACTGCGAGAGGTGAGTCGAAACGTAAATGAGAGTGCATTGTACTTACAGGAATTGAAGTTTCGACTCCATCCTCCGCGTGCTCCTGGGGGCCCAGCGGTTAAGCGTTGAGCTGAAACCTTGGCTCTGATAACCAAGTGTCACAGGATCGAATGTCCCGAGGAAAGGTTTGCTCAATGTTGCCCTATCAATCAGTACAAGGTGCTTTTATACTTCCAGAATACATCAGGTAACCAGGTTTATCCTATCCAAAGGGAATAGACCCTTCTAGAAATAGAATCACCCTGCGTATAGCCACGCGAGGCTATTGGCTATAAGGGATTACGGCAGGATTACGCTAGATATAGCGCGCCAGTACATCCCGAGCCTGGTCGGTGATATAATCATAATAATAGGATAAACCCAAGGATAATGGAAAATGAGGAATAGGAAACCAAATGAGATGAGATAAAGACCAAATGAATCAGGAGTGAAAGAGGAATGAAATAGAAATGAAATATGGAAAGGGGAAATTGGTGTAACGGTGTCGTACTCTCACAGGCTGCCTGCGTTAGCAGAGCACGCATCTTCTCCTGCAGAGTTTTGTTCATCCTTTCTGGTACCCCCATCTGTTGATGTGCATGTGGCAGTGCCTACTTCCGTTTCTTGCCGAGTGTCTGAAGATATTCTGTGAAAGGGTTGCTGGTGTACTCCCCTGCACCATCACTCTGAAATTCTTGCAGTTTCACGTCTGACTCTCGTTCAGCGACAGCGAGCCACGCGACGAAGACGGAGGTGAGCGAGATAACGAGCGGGAAGGTTTGCTGTCCAGACGTAGCGTGTAGATGCTTCGATGAATGTTATCACGTACTTCTCGTCTTTAGGTCCTGCTTCAGGTAAGTTTAATAATGTCGCTGTAGACTTTCTGCATCAGTTTACAACGATCGGTTGGCAACTGGACAAGTGGTGCAAACCGTGGGACGGGACTGCGGCTTCATCTTCGTGCCGTCAGGTAATAGAAGACTATTTTTATCCAGAACTGCTGCTCGTATTGAATGATTAAGAATCCCCTGCGATGGATGTCCTAACCGTTGATGCCAGATATCTTCTTGGGCTTTGTGTCCTCATGGTCGCAGGTAAAAATCGGTGTTGGTATAAAAAAAGAAGAAATGATATAAGGAGATAGCGTTGGTGATCGGTCAACGTCACCTTCAACAAAACGTGTAAGGGGTAATGGAACATTTGAAGGTGCTGCAGTTGCGATTACAACTTCTGATACTGCTTCTGTTTGATGTTGTGGCAGGTGTTTCGGGTGACAGCTACTGTTGAACACGGCTGCTCGGCGACTTCTTCCTTTTCGACTTCTTTAACGACGTCAGGTTCATCAGCGGCAAGTCCACTAATTTCTCCCCAAAGTGGTGCTTGAGTTCCTTGGAAGGCTGCACGGGTATTATAAAACGTTCGCCACGCGGTGGCGCTTTCATCGGCGGTATTGAACTCCCAGGTATCCAACGAGGTAACTACGGCAGCTGCAGTTCGAGAAGCCGTTGGTACAGTAGTTGCTCGAAAGTCAATATCCACGTGTTGATAATCTGTTTCTTCTGGATGATCCCAAGGACCAAGTGCAAGGACGCGTTCAGAATCGCCAGAAGTTCCCTGTGCTGCGAACTGAAGAACGGACACGCCATGTTGAGTGGCGGCACGACCAAGGTAAGTATTCGTTGAACCTGTGCCAGAGCTCCTGATCCATCGTTTCACAATTGCCCCTGTGTGCGGATCTTGTGTGCCAGGAGCTGAGCCATGGAAAGGAGATTGAATCCAAGTCCAGCGACGATAAGAACATTGGTAACATGTAGTGAGTATCCCGTGTCGATAGATTCGAGCATTACACTCCCAACAGAACGTGCCATAATAGTTTGTCCGTTTGCGACTGTGACAGGTATCGGACGACGAAGTGGACGCTGGTGGTGATGAAGCTTGTTTCTGCGGAGCACATGTGCCAACCGCAGCAGCTGTCGAGATACCAAAGTATTCGGTCCTGAAATTATTTAAGCAAGGTTAGCGTAAACTTGAGTAAAGGAATGCCTTCAGCACTTGTGGTTTCTTCAAGTCGTGTCTCGAAATCTGTTTCTGAAACATCAACTGTCGTGAAGCATCCAAAGACCCCTTTCCCTGATGTTGCAGATGCAAAAACCGGAGAGACGATGCTGTGACGCAGACGGATTCTGCGGCGTTTTCGGCATCTGCTGCATTTGGGCCGTCGACTGCTGCGTGGGCTAATGTGGCTTCGGTAACTGCTGCGAGCGATGATAAGGCTGTGAAGTGCTGCGTCGGTTTTGATGTCGACTGCAACAATTCTGGTAAGTGTGTCCTGGTTTCTTGCAGAAATGGCAGAAAGGATATTTCAGGGGATGACGATGTTGCGCTTCTAGATTTGAGTAAAAACTCAAGTGTAGTCCCTTCTTCTGATTTCGTTGTGACTGCAGGTCCAGATCTTGCTGCTCCGCTTGAAGATACGACAAAATTTCAGCTTCGGAGAGGTTTGGGTTCATGCGCAGAAAGGCGCGCGTCTGTCACCATTCGGGTCCAAGGCCAGCAAGAAGGACCGTGAGATACATCTCACGAGGGAAGTATCCCCCGCTTTTCTTCAGTTGATCACGTAGTGTAAGGACGCGATTGACGTAATCCATGACGTTCTCGTTTGTCATCATCTGCACACTTGTCTGTTGCGAAAGTATTTTACTCACTGTTATGGTATCCTTTGCCATGTATACCCCCTTCAAGTGGTTCCATGCAGTTTCAGCTGGTGTAAAGCTTGAGTGAAAATATCGGACGCCGAGTTGCTCCTTCGGCGACAGGTTTCGAACAAGAACTGTATACGCCCCGAGAGAGGCGTGCAAGAAACTCTGCTGCTCCAGTTTGTGTTCCCACGACAGGATACGTGAACTCGCCGGTGAAGAACGGCCATAGCCCACCGGACTGCGCCAGAAGCTCAAACTCAAAGCTCCAGGAGTAGAAGTCGACTTCGCTAAAAGTATAGTGGTTTTTATTTGTGTGCTGTTCAGTAAATTTGGTGGTTGAAAAATAGCACCCGGTTGTTAAGGCAGTTGCTGTTGCCGTTGCTGTTGCTGAAATTGTTGTTGTTGTTGTTGCTGTTGCTGTGGCTGTTGATGCTGTTGCTGAGCAGGAGATCGCCCAAATATATAAAAGGGATGCTGCTGCTGTTGTGACTGCTGCTGCTGCACAAAAGGTGAGAAAGCGAATGAACCAGTACTTGGAGCTGAGGCTCCACGCATGTAACTCGAGCCGTCAAGGCTCATTCCACTGAACGCTGACGATATTGACTGTGTTGAAAACGGTGGTTGTGCTGATGCTTGTTGCTGTGCTGTTGTCTGTGTTAGTTGTTGTTGTGCTGCAGGGGCAGTTGATGACATTCCTGGAGTGCTGACAGAAGACGGATTCTGCTGCTGCTGCTGCATACCGATATGCGCATAAGCCGGTGAAAATGGTCCAGAGGCTGAGAGACCAGTGGCGGTCGTGGAGACATGTACTCCAGTAGTCCCGGAAGTTGATCCGGCAGACGATGCTGGTAATGAACCCGTCATTGTTTACAATAGTCTTAATTCCAGATAGCTCTCATACCATATAATATTTTGACAGGTGTTGCAGAAGACTAAGTATAGAACCTGCAAAAACGAACACTTGGAAAACCTCAAGTGTTAGCCTAGGATCTTTACTGGAATGGTAGACTAGTAAGACAACGGAAGTCTTGTAAGAATGAACCTGAGTATATATTTGTGCAGAAGTTAAGTTTCAAAGTTCTCAAAGTTGAAATCTCAAGGTTAATAATAAAAGGACAGAACAAAGACTTATAGCTCTAGGAAATTACCTGTTCGCTAATGTACCTGCTCATCACTATCGCGCTATGCGCCCTAGATGATAATGAAGAGGTGCGACTATTCGCGTGACTGAAACGACTGTCCTATGACGAGCGCTATTTGCTGACGTCATCCTAGGGACTTATCTTTGAAATAAATCGTCTGATGTTTGTAGTAGACTAAGTATAAAATCTGCTAACACGAGTACTTCACCAAGGATCTTTGCTGGAATGATAGACTAGTAAGACAGCGGAAGTCTTGTAAAATGTAAAGGTCAAGGTTGAATAACATGAGTACGTGAACTTGTGAGTAATCAAAGTTGAATAACGTGAGCACATAATTCTGTGGAAAGTCAAGGTTAATAATAGAAAGGCATTACAAGAATGTATAGCTCTAGGGAAAGTACCTGTTTGCTAATGTATCTGTTCGTCACTATCGCGCTATGCGACCTATTCGTCATTCTATAGGGTCGTGACTGTTCGCGTGACTGAAACGACTCGTTACGCCTATTCACGTAACTGACGCGGTATGCTGGCGTCATCCCGAGACCCACGATGCTTTGCCGACATCAGCACTCGGGCATGATTACTTACTGAGAAACTCGATACTGCTAACTACACTGAAAACGGAACATGCAGGAATGCAAAACTTCATTTATCACAACAATCTTCTACGGTAGGATTCAACACTATCGATAAACGACTTACAAAAATGCTAAGTATGAAATATATCACAACAATAGACAACCGCGACATAAGAAGACTCCCAAGGATTTGCTCTCACGTGTATATACATCCATGTGCTATCGCAAATAACTCGCTGGTGCAAATTTCATTATCACTCCTTCCCACAGCTTAGGTTCATGCAACAGGCAAGCTGTTATGTTGGACAAAAACAACGATGCGACCAGTAGAGAGTATGGTATGGTACGACATGATCTCCACCAAGTGCATTTCAATGTCATAATTAAAAATGTATCCAGACCTTTACATCTCCCAAGGCTTATTGCTGATGCACGTGCCATTGTTGGACTGGTCTGTAAGGTCAGCTGGACGAAGTCTCCGTGGCGGGCCAGATGAGGAACAGCCTCACATCGTGGCTTGGAACTCGAATGCTCAGTTCCCCTGAGATGACCTTGTCCATGGTTGCCTTCTGCACAAGAGGGACACATAGCAGGGTGGAGACACAGCCACTCTTACAGAGTCTCAGTGGCGGGCCAGACGAGGAACAGCCTCACATCGTGACTTGGAACTCGAGCACTCAGCGCCCCTGAGATGACCTTGTCCATGGTTGCCTTCTGCACAAGAGGGGGAGAAACGCAGGGTGACACCATAGTAGCAGCATCACTGGACGGGATGGAGACATGTGACACTGGATATGCATGTGCATGTGCATGTGCTCGCATGGTTGCCTTCAACACAGGGGTGACCAAACAAGGTGACACCATGGTAGCAGCACCACAGGACGGGATGGAGACATGTGACAGTGGATATGCATGTGCATGTGCATGTGCATGTGCTCGCATGTGCGTAAGTGTGAGGAAGAGGGTTGGGATGAGGGAGGGAAAGGGGGGGGGGAGGAAAGGGGGGGGGGGTGGTAAGAGGGAGGAAAGGGGGGCAAAAGACTAGTTAACACAACTACCTTCCAGAGGCCGCGTGCATGCATCGGCTGCACCGGATTCAGGCCAATCACTTTCCGACTAGCTTTCACATTAAAGCACCTGTCAAGAGAAGTTCAAAAGCCATGGGTTCGAGGTTCACCCGTACCTTCCAAAGGTCGCGTGCATACTGCACCGGATTCAGGCCAATCGCTTTCCAGCGGGCAGTCACCTTCGCGCTTATTGGGCTGCGATTCACCAGGGCTACCACCCACCGACCCTCAGACAGAGGTCCGGACCAAACCTGCAGGTTCCAAGGACAGGCCGCATGGGGAAGGGAGAGGCACACACAGAAACGAAAAGGGATGGCCTTTAGGAGCACGCTGTATTCACGTAGCTAAAATGGCTTCGGTCTGCAAATGAGGCAACGAAGAGGGATGGCTCTCTGCTCTGAATAAAGCAGTGCTGAATCAACACTGCTGAATAAGCGTCGCAGAATTAGTGCTGCCCCATGAGGTAGTTGCTGTGAAGTGCCACAAGGACCAGCTCGCTTGCAAGCACATGCAGCATCATCAGAGTCAGCTTACCAAGTGGACACAGAATGCATGGTTCGCGTGAAAAGGTCTACTTCTGCCCACTCACCTCCCCCCCACTGCACTCACCTCCCCCACTGCACTCACCTCCCCCCACTGCACTCACCTCCCCTCACTGCACTCACCTCCCCCACTGCACTCACCTCCCCCCACTGTACTCTCCTCCCACCAAGAGAGGGGTAGTCCCTATTCCAGCCAACTCACTCACCTTGGGCGAACAAGGGCCCATCTGACCTCACTCACCCTAGGCGAGCAAGGGCCCATCTGACCTCCCTCACCCTAGGCGAGCAAGGGCCCATCTGACCTCTCTCACCTCTATGAGGCTGTCCTCAGAGACTTGCACCTTCCTTGCCTGCACTCCCAGCCGGTCTGCACCAATCGTAATGTGCCACGTGTGAGCAAATACACCAATCACGTGTGAGCAAATACACCAATCACGTGTGAGCAAGTACACCAATCACGAGCACACACCTGGCACGAGCACACACCTGGCTCCAGCACGCACCTGGCAGGAGCACACACCTGGCAGGAGCACAGACTTGGCACGAGCACACACCTGGCACGAGCACACACCTGGCACGAGCACACACCTGGCACGAGCACACACCTGGCACGAGCACACACCTGGCACGAGCACACACCTGGCACGAGCACATACCTGGCACGAGCACACACCTGGCACGAGCACACACCTGGCACGAGCACACACCTGGCTCCAGCACACACCTGGCACGAGCACACACCTGGCACGAGCACACACCTGGCTCCAGCACACACCTGGCACGAGCACACACCTGGCTCCAGCACACACCTGGCACGAGCACACACCTGGCACGAGCACACACCTGGCACGAGGACACACCTGGCACGAGCACACACCTGGCACGAGCACACACCTGGCACGAGCACACACCTGGCACGAGCACACACCTGGCACGAGCACACACCTGGCTCCAGCACACACCTGGCACGAGCACACACCTGGCACGAACGCACACCTGGCACGAGCACACACCTGGCTCCAGCACACACCTGGCACGAGCACACACCTGGCACGAGCACACACCTGGCTCCAGCACACACCTGGCACGAGCACACACCTGGCTCCAGCACACACCTGGCACGAGCACACACCTGGCACGAGCACACACCTGGCACGAGCACACACCTGGCTCCAGCACACACCTGGCACGAGCACACACCTGGCACGAGCACACACCTGGCACGAGCACACACCTGGCACGAGCACACACCTGGCACGAGCACACACCTGGCACGAGCACACACCTGGCTCCAGCACACACCTGGCACGAGCACACACCTGGCACGAGCACACACCTGGCTCCAGCACACACCTGGCACGAGCACACACCTGGCTCCAGCACACACCTGGCACGAGCACACACCTGGCACGAGCACACACCTGGCACGAGGACACACCTGGCACGAGCACACACCTGGCACGAGCACACACCTGGCACGAGCACACACCTGGCACGAGCACACACCTGGCTCCAGCACACACCTGGCACGAGCACACACCTGGCACGAGCACACACCTGGCTCCAGCACACACCTGGCACGAGCACACACCTGGCTCCAGCACACACCTGGCACGAGCACACACCTGGCACGAGCACACACCTGGCACGAGCACACACCTGGCTCCAGCACACACCTGGCACGAGCACACACCTGGCACGAGCACACACCTGGCACGAGCACACACCTGGCACGAGCACACACCTGGCACGAGCACACACCTGGCACGAGCACACACCTGGCTCCAGCACACACCTGGCACGAGCACACACCTGGCACGAGCACACACCTGGCTCCAGCACACACCTGGCACGAGCACACACCTGGCTCCAGCACACACCTGGCACGAGCACACACCTGGCACGAGCACACACCTGGCACGAGGACACACCTGGCACGAGCACACACCTGGCACGAGCACACACCTGGCACGAGCACACACCTGGCACGAGCACACACCTGGCTCCAGCACACACCTGGCACGAGCACACACCTGGCACGAACGCACACCTTGGTTAACAGCAATGACTTCATCATTCCCCAGAATGCGCAGTGTCGCATTTGATACACGAGAGAGGTCGCAGCCAATCAAGAGAGGCGCCTGGTGAAAGGAGGTGGAGGGAAGAGGGGAGGGGGAGGGAAGGACGGTTGAGGAGGGAAGTGAGTGCTTCGGTTGGAAATTTACTGACTCACTCATTAAAGGTCTCACTTTTCTCCGACTCACTCATTAAAGGTCTCACTTTTCTCCGACTCACTCATTAAAGGTCTCACTTTTCTCCGACTCACTCATTAAAGGTCTCACTTTTCTCTGAGTCACTCCTTCCCTAGAATGATGTCATTCCTTTCAGTAAGAAATGTGCAGTGTTGCATTTGATACACGAGAGAGGTCGCAGCCAATCAGGAGAGGCGCCTAGTGAAAGGATGTTGAGGGTGGGGGAGGGGAGGGGGGGGGGGTTGAGGACGGGTGTAGAGGGAAATGAGTGCTTCGGGTGGAAATTTACTGGTCTTAAATCCCTCCAAATCCCTCCAAATCCCTCCAAATCACTCATTCCCTAGAATGATGTCACTTCCCTTCAGTAGGAAATGAGTGCTTCGGTAGTGGATGAGTGATCCGAGATTGCTCTTCCCTCCGAAGGATGTAGATGGGGTGGGCGGGCAGGATGGGTGCGGAGGGAAGTGAGTGTTCCGGTTGGAAATTTACTTCACAACTGTGTTGATAAGATTATCTCAGTGCCGACCTTTCTGGAATTTACGTCGCTCGCAAAAATGTTTGAGTGGAGTCAAAAGCAGACTCATTACAGAGTGTGTTGTTACTCTCGTTGCTGACCTTGATATAATTTACCCTAAAAGGTCTAATGATCTTGAGACGGTCAGTTTTGAGGCGCCTCAAAAGGAGTCTAATTTTTAGGCGCCATAAAAAGCACATCGTACATACGCACCATTGCGAATCGAAAGCATCAGTTTTGAGGCGCCTCAAAAGGAGTCTATTTCTTAGGCGCCAGAAAAAGCACATCGTACATACGCACCATTGCGAATCAAAAGCATCAGTTTTGAGGCGCCTCAAAAGGAGTCTATTTCTTAGGCGCCAGAAAAAGCACATCGTACATACGCACCATTGCGAATCGAAAGCATCAGTTTTGAGGCGCCTCAAAAGGAGTCTATTTTTTAGGCGCCAGAAAAAGCACATCGTACATACGCACCATTGCGAATCGAAAGCATCAGTTTTGAGGCGCCTCAAAAGGAGTCTATTTTTTAGGCACCAGAAATAGCACATCGTACATACGCACCATTGCGAATCGAAAGCATCCCTTTTGAGGCACCTAACGAATACACTCCTACACGCATGGCATGCACACCGTAGATATGCACCATCGCAGATCGAAAGCGTAAAAGAGGCCCGTCCTCTTTCCATGCTCACCTCACTTTCATGATGGCCCAGAGACTGGAATGCACGCGACACTCTCTCATACCTTTTGTGACGTCTCAAGGGCCATCTCCATGCATGCACCCATGCCCACCTCCATGCACCCATGCCCACCTCCATGCATCCATGCCCACCTCCATGCACCCATGCCCACCTCCATGCACCCATGCCCACCTCCATGCACCCATGCCCACCTCCATGCATCCATGCCCACCTCCATGCACCCATGCCCACCTCCATGCACCCATGCCCACCTCCATGCACCCATGCCCACCTCCATGCACCCATGCCCACCTCCATGCACCCATGCCCACCTGCAAGCACCCATGCCCACCTTCATGATGGCCCAGAGGCTGAAGTGCACGCGGTACTCCGACTCTCTCATGCCGCCATTCCCCACCTGCAGCATGTCGGGGTCTGCGAGGGGGGCGGTTATCAGGAGACAAGAGTTCGGGGAAAGAGATTGGACACCTGAGCTCTTGAGTAGTGCACTCGACACTCCCCGTTTTCATATGTCCCCCATTCCCCACCTGCAGCATGTTGGGGTCTGTGAGGGGGAGGGTCAAGTGTGTGGGGGTGAAGGTTTGCAGAGTGGAGGGTTCGGGGAAAGAGATTGGACACCTGAGCTCTTGAGCAGTGCACTCGGTCGGTACTCCCCAGTTTCACATGATTCCATTCCCCACCTGCAGCATGTCGGGGTCTGTGAGGGGGAGGTTCAAGTGTGGGGGAAGGGGGGCGGAGTGGAGGGTTTGGGGAAAGAGATTGGACACCTGAACTCGTGAGCAGTGCACTTGGTGCTCCCTACTTATACATGTCCCCATCCCCCACCTGCAGCAACTCAGAGTGTGATCTGAGTGGACAATCAAAAAGTGGGTGTGGAGGGTGTTGGACAGAGGGGAAGGGGGGGGGGGGCAGCACGGTGCTTGTGCCATGGCATACTTTTGCAAGCAGCATGACTGGTTGAAGGATGATGCGGGCCGATGAGCAAGCATTGATTGACCTTGGAGCATTTTCACTGCTTGATCGCAATGGTGCCACGGAGCCATGGTGCCACCTTTACCCTTCCAAACTCTAGCTTTTACCCTTCCCTCAAAGATTTTAGCCCCTGCTTCTTCAAATCACCCACTGATAAGCGCCGTTCCACCCGCCTGCCTTGACGTGCGTGGCTGACTAGCTGTTGGCTCGATTGAGTGCCTCACAAGCGACTACGTGTGTCGGGAACCTTGTGTGTCGGGCACCTCGTGTGTTGGGCACCTTGTGTTGGGTCTGAGTCGGCTATAGCTTCCGCGCGAAACTACAGCTCCCAGGCAACGAAATGTCAAACGTGCTCACAGCAAGCCAACCTTGCTCGTGACTGATGCCAACGTCCTACCGTTAGCTCGTAGCAAGGACTCCTCGCCTACGGCTACAAAACGCAGTCGCACTGAGCGCTCGGACTCCGACACGCCAACTCGCCCATCGCCTCCGGCCGATGTGATTTCGCCTTGCAAGGGCTCCTTGCACTAGGATTATATAGAAGCACTGGGCTCTATGATAATCTCCTCGTCGACACGATTCCAACGTTATCCTCACGTTTGCTAGAAGTCGTGATTATGTACTGCAAGTTTCAGAACTCAACTTTATTTTTAAATAACAAACAGATAAACACTTTTATAGTCAACCAGAATGCCAATTCGCGGCTCGTAACCACCAAGGGCGCTTTGACTAACGAGCGCGCCTCGTTTCGTTTCAGGTCGCACACGCAATCACATCGGAACGCGGTCCGCGTGTTTCAACACCGACACCGACCCCAAGTTCGGTGCCACTGAACGCACACCGTCCAAAATCCCATTTTCTTCCACAACTCCTCCTGTAACTCCACAACACATGTTCTTCACACCTTCCTTCCCACTCCTTCCCCTTCTTCTTCTTCATCTCCCGTCATCCTATTTCCACCGTTCTTCCTTGGTGCACCACCGTCGCACAGTCGCACCGTCACTTCTTCCGAATTCCCACCAATATTCCTCAATCACCGCTATTTTTTCAATTGACTTTTCTTCCGTTCCCACCGCCTGAAATTCCTCCCACGATTCTGCTCGCCACCCCTAGGTCGCCCTAGTGGTTGGCGAACCAATGCCAACATTGGGCACCTCATGTGTTGGGCACCTCGTGTGTTGGGCACCTCGTGTGTTGGGCACCTCGTGTGTTGGGCACCTCGTGTGTTGGGCACCTCGTGTGTTGGGCACCTCGTGTGTTGGGCACCTCGTGTGTTGGGCACCTCGTGTGTTGGGCACCTCGTGTGTTGGGCACCTCGTGTGTTGGGCACCTCGTGTGTTGGGCACCTCGTGTTGGCACCTCGTGTGTTGGGCACCTCGTGTGTTGGCACCTCGTGTGTTGGGCACCTCGTGTGTTGGGCACCTCGTGTGTTGGGCACCTCGTGTGTTGGGCACCTCGTGTGTTGGGCACCTCGTGTGTTGGGCACCTCGTGTGTTGGGCACCTCGTGTGTTGGGCACCTCGTGTGTTGGGCACCTCGTGTGTTGGGCACCTCGTGTGTTGGGCACCTCGTGTGTTGGGCACCTCGTGTGTTGGGCACCTCGTGTGTTGGGCACCTCGTGTGTTGGGCACCTCGTGTGTTGGGCACCTCGTGTGTTGGGCACCTCGTGTGTTGGGCACCTCGTGTGTTGGGCACCTCGTGTGTTGGGCACCTCGTGTGTTGGGCACCTCGTGTGTTGGGCACCTCGTGTGTTGGGCACCTCGTGTGTTGGGCACCTCGTGTGTTGGGCACCTCGTGTGTTGGGCACCTCGTGTGTTGGGCACCTCGTGTGTTGGGCACCTCGTGTGTTGGGCACCTCGTGTGTTGGGCACCTCGTGTGTTGGGCCCTCGTGTGTTGGGCACCTCGTGTGTTGGGCACCTCGTGTGTTGGGCACCTCGTGTGTTGGGCACCTCGTGTGTTGGGCACCTCGTGTGTTGGGCACCTCGTGTGTTGGGCACCTCGTGTGTTGGGCACCTCGTGTGTTGGGCACCTCGTGTGTTGGGCACCTCGTGTGTTGGGCACCTCGTGTGTTGGGCACACCTCGTGTGTTGGGCACCTCGTGTGTTGGGCACCTCGTGTGTTGGGCACCTCGTGTGTTGGGCACCTCGTGTGTTGGGCACCTCGTGTGTTGGGCACCTCGTGTGTTGGGCACCTCGTGTGTTGGGCACCTCGTGTGTTGGGCACCTCGTGTGTTGGGCACCTCGTGTGTTGGGCACCTCGTGTGTTGGGCACCTCGTGTGTTGGGCACCTCGTGTGTTGGGCACCTCGTGTGTTGGGCACCTCGTGTGTTGGGCACCTCGTGTGTTGGGCACCTCGTGTGTTGGGCACCTCGTGTGTTGGGCACCTCGTGTGTTGGGCACCTCGTGTGTTGGGCACCTCGTGTTGGGCACCTCGTGTGTTGGGCACCTCGTGTGTTGGGCACCTCGTGTGTTGGGCACCTCGTGTGTTGGGCACCTCGTGTGTTGGGCACCTCGTGTGTTGGGCACCTCGTGTGTGGGCACCTCGTGTGTTGGGCACCTCGTGTGTTGGGCACCTCGTGTGTTGGGCACCTCGTGTGTTGGGCACCTCGTGTGTTGGGCACCTCGTGTGTTGGGCACCTCGTGTGTTGGGCACCTCGTGTGTTGGGCACCTCGTGTGTTGGGCACCTCGTGTGTTGGGCACCTCGTGTGTTGGGCACCTCGTGTGTTGGGCACCTCGTGTGTTGGGCACCTCGTGTGTTGGGCACCTCGTGTGTTGGGCACCTCGTGTGTTGGGCACCTCGTGTTGGGCACCTCGTGTGTTGGCATCGTGGTCACCTGTGTGTGTTGGGCACCTCGTGTGTTGGGCACCTCGTGTGTTGGGCACCTGTGTGTGGCACCTCGTGTGTTGGGCACCTCGTGTGTTGGGCACCTGTGTGTTGGGCACCTCGTGTGTTGGGCACCTCGTGTGTTGGGCACCTCGTGTGTTGGGCACCTCGTGTGTTGGGCACCTCGTGTGTTGGGCACCTCGTGTGTTGGGCACCTCGTGTGTTGGGCACCTCGTGTGTTGGGCACCTCGTGTGTTGGGCACCTCGTGTGTTGGGCACCTCGTGTGTGTTGGGCACCTCGTGTGTTGGGCATCGTGTGTTGGGCACCTCGTGTGTTGGGCACCTCGTGTGTTGGGCACCTCGTGTTGGCACC